TGGCCACTGTTGAAAATACTGGCTATTCTACAACAGTTGATACTAGATGATACTAGTGTCAACTAGTGTATTTTGTTTATATTTTGGTCTTCTAGTTAATTCTTTTATTTTCCTGTGTAAATTAAAGCTGTCATGTTTATTTTGTACCATTTCTATTTCATCACATTTTTCTTTTAACCAATTTTCTCTTGTTACTCGAATTTGTCAACGTATTTCGTTTTGTGTTTGCTAATAATAAATATAGCTTGTATGTAACTTGTATTTTGGAGATTTTTTCTTGTTATTTGTTTATATATGTATTTTACTTTTAAAAGTTTTCCTTGTCCCTCGCAGTAAAGACAGGATGGTGCCCTTTTTCCTTTTATTTGGTCCATTTTCTTTTAGTTAATAATATTCATATTATTTATTGTTTCTGGTTTCAGTATTCCCGTTCGTAATAAGCAATCTGTAGACCCACGTCCCAAAGCTCACCGTTGTATCCTTCATCCTGAGTGCCGGTTTGCATAGTGGACGTACGTGGTCCTGAAATTCTTCATTTATCTGTTAGTTCCAATACAAAACTTCATTAAGGCTTATCCTCGATAATTGTAACGGTAAAATTCAGAGAGATGTCTATTTCAAAAATATCTTTCTTTACAAAAACAAAATCCATTCACGAAGAATATTCTAAACGTCATCTTGTACTAGAGGTAATCTTAATACCTACCTTATACAACCCCCTATTGTGTAAAGTCTTGGGTCTATACAATAAACGACTGGGCGGCCTTCTATTCAGTGTGGTTTTGAAATAATGTTGAATAAAAACATTCATGAAATTAAAATGAAAGAATTTACGTCTATTAGTAGAAGTGCGATTTATAAAATTAGTACTTGAAGCATAAATCGCGGGAGGAATATGTGCATCAGTTTTCAAATATTTATTATTTACTATATAATTTCTAAATTGAACCACTTTCACTTCTTTAGTTAACAATGTATCTGTTTTGACAACTAAATAGGTAATTAGACAAAATAATTATTAATTTCAAAACAGGAGTTTAAAGAATTAGAAAGAGGTAGCGCGGGCCCAGTTAAATGGTCAAGCTTATTCCAGTGGAAGCAATAAGGAGGATTATTTTTCGTTTTGGCACAGCTGACATGCTCTCTCTAGTACTACAAGCCATGAAACTGTGGTAAAAAGCATGCTTTATTTATACGGTTGTGAAACACGACGATTAACAGAGACAGATTAATATCGAAGAAAGATATCTCGTCGAACTTAATGCAATAAAGTATGAGAATAGAAGGTACAGTCATGGATGGCATACAACGAAAGCAGCTCAAATGGGTACAGGTCCAATAAATGAAAGACAAGAGACTCCTAAAACAAGTACCTGTATGAACACCTACCGTAATCCAGAAGAGATTATTACCTTAGAAAACACGGATGGAAGGAATAAGAAACTTAATGAGCTCGAAAGAACTTAAAGAACAATGGAACAACCGAATTGAATGAAAAATGAACGTCGGAAGACATTTTATAAGGATTATATCATATTATAGGTACATTTTTTGGACTAAAAATAAATTTGAAGAAAACCAAGTTCATGGTATTTACAAAAGCACAAAGCATCAAAGTTAAGCTAGTACTAGATAATACAGAAATTGAACAAATATCTTTGTACAAATACCTTGGAGCATGGATCACAGAAGATACTGATTAGACAAAAGAAATAAGATGCCGCATTGGAATTGCACGGTCAACTTTTAATAGAACGAGAAAACTTTTTTGTAATCGAGATATCAATATATCGCTCCGGATAAGAATGCTTTGATGTTATATTTTCTTTACCCTTTTATATGGGATTCAAGCTTGGTCACGGATCGCAAAACAACCGAACAAGTTCTCGAACAACTAGGAAAACAATGCGAAGTTTTAAATTCCATAAAAATCAGGAAATTAGAATACTTGGGGCACATCATACATCACACATCAAGACGTAAAATCTAGTGGTTACGTAATCTCCGTGAATGGTTTGGATGCAATTTAACTGAACTATTCAGGCGCATATCCAACAAAATGATAATTGCCAGAATGATTTCCAATCTCCGATAGGAGTGGAACTTGAAGAAGAAGAATAAGTACATTATTATTATATCATATTATATATATATATATATATATATATATATATATATATATATATATATTTATATAATATATGATATAAACGATATTGAAAGAGGTTACAACATAGACAATCAACAAAATCTACATCGACAACTACACAGTGAACACCCAACAATAATAGAAGTGTCAAATGCCGTCCTAAAACTCAAAGACAATAAAGCCACAGGAATCGATTAAATCTGTTGGAAAATATATAAAAAAAAGGTGATGATCAGCTTTTTGCAGTAACCCATAAACTAATAGTACTTATATGGCAAAATGAATTTGTTCCAGAAGAGTGGCTAAATGAAATAATATACGTTGCATAAAAAGGACGATTAACTGGATTGTAAGAACTATAGAGGCATTACTCTGTTAGCATCTTCACCTGTTAGCACCCTGCTTGGCAGGGTCACATATCAGATCAATTTACGGTTGCAAAAGGCTTGAGACTGGGAGATCCTTTATCCACTACATTATTCAAATTAGTATTAGAAACTGTAATCAGAAAATGCAGCATGAAGATGGAAGAAACGATCATGAAAAATGAGCACCAGTGCTTGGCATTTGCTGATGATCTAACGATCCTAGCAAAAACCGAGTAAGAATTAAGAAGAGTTGTGAACAAAATCATCGAAGAAGCACAGAAATTTGGATTGGAACTAAATGAAGACAAAACTAAATATATGATCATAGAAGGAACAGAAGGGAAAAAAGAAGACTTTAGTATGAGGTCAGTAAGTGGTAAAAGCTATAGTTTTAAAAGGGTGGACAAATTTGAATACCTAGGTGTAGTTTTCGATGAAAATGGAAAAGATAAATGGGAGCTCGTAGCCAGAATAGCAAAAGGGAATAAAAAATTAGGTGGTTTAAGAGCCCTACTGAACTCAAAATACGTTTCTAGACAAGGTAAACTCAGAATATATAAAACAGTAATTCGACCCACAGTAACATATGCCGGTGAGCCTGGACATTAAATAAGAAGGAAGAGGATACTCTGGAAAGATGGGAAAGGAAAATATTGAGATGCATATTCAGAGGACGAAAGGCAGAAGATGGTTGGGAAAGAAGAACCAACAATGAATTAATGGCTTTATACAAAGAACCTACTATTACCAAGTTCGTCAAGGCACAAAGAATCAGATGGTTGGGACATGTGGGAAGAATGGCAGCAAACAGAATTCCTAAACTAGTAATAACCAGAAAATTAGTCGAACCCAAAAGAAGAGGTAGACCCAGAACGAGGTGGATTAGTAAAGCGGAGGAAGAACTTAAACACGTGAAGGTGAGGGAATGGAAAAAAAAGCACAAAATAGAAGCGAATGGAAAAATATTGTACACCAGGTCCTTCAGAGTAGTTAAGAATGTTATATATACATATTTACGTTAGAGTTTTGTTTAAAATAATTGTAATTAGTTAATATTAGAATTATGTTGTAAAAAAATGCTTTAGGCCTTAACGGCCTATTGTGCGTAAAAAATAAATAAATAAATAATAGAGTGCAAAAATCGAAAGAATCGCGTTTTTTGCATTAATTGTTAATCATTAAAAAACGGCTCCGAACTCTACGCAGGAAACAGGTAGGTTTTCTTCTTATAGGTCTACAATAACTAAAAAAGTTGTCAGCTACCTGGATTATTGAGTGTCACGAGAAAATCCTTATTAGCCTGGACTAATATGGCTGGACAAGCAAGTGAAGAAACAAACTTCATATATTATGTAAACTTTACTAACAAAAACGTTGAAAATAAATATTCCTATAAATATAAATAATCAAATTCCATATTCAAATACAGCAAAATATTTGGGTATTGTCCAATAAATATAAATAATCAAATTCCGTATTCAAATACTGCAAAATATTTGAGTATTACTCTAAGCTTTTATGTAAAGAAGAAAAGAAAATAATAATTCTGATTGAAATACAAATTGGTTTGTCAAAAGTCGAAATAAACCCTAATAATGTTATTCAACATTATTTATGACCCACCTTCGAGAGGGTATTATACTTCTTACCTAACCTACCTAACCGTGTCGACGAGAATCCAGAAACTATCGACAAGGACAGCCTGTACTGGCCGAGAGAGAAAGTTACATTTAGCAAAATTTGAGATTTTAAAAAAAGTTTATACCAAATAGCTGCTTTGTGTTACACTTTATGTTAAAAATAAAAACAGATTCGGAAAGTGGGTCAAATTCTGTAGTGCCCTATTTCAAAAAAAAAATTTTTACGTTTATTTTAACCAAAAATATTTGAAAAAAAAATATTGTTTAAACAATTTATTAATTTACAACTAAATAGTGCACTAGAACTTTTTAAGACCTTTCATATAAAAAAAGAATCATCTCAATATCTGCCATAGTTTTTGCGTTATTTGATATAAACTTTTACATTGGAACTTAGGTATGCCCAGAAACGCAAGGAACGGCCTTAATGTGTTAATTTTTATGTTATCCACAACAATAACCAAATTCGGGGCCTCCTGTCTTTCCTACCAGACCGTTGTATCTTAAAAGGATAACTAGAAACAAAAGAGAATAGAAAAGCTGATAAACAAGATCGGACACGACTTAACAGGTTGTACATGAAATTGGCAGCGTCGACATCAATACTTTTTGTAATCGAAACAGCGTAAGATGCTCTTTATTCTACTGGAATAGTATGTATATGAAGAAAAAAAAACAACTGGATAATCTAAAAATAAACATAAAAGTCCTAACACCAGGAACAATATCAATTTAGACAAATCACTATAACGAAACATTTTTTTAACAATATGCTCCTCAGATCAGTTTTATACAAAATAATGATGCACTAAACAAAATAGAATACAGATGACTGATTCTTACCCCCTTTCTCTGATATATTCGAGCTGCTTTCCAGTCAGTCTTCTTGGTTCTCCTTTTCCGTCAACGGCGACAGCATCCAACTCGTCAAAAGATGGCGCTATAAACAGATCCCTGAGATGGTACTTTGACTTCATACGACCCAACGATCCATCCGAAGATACCTGAGATGTGGTGAATAAATCACAGTGTGATACCGGACTTGGAAGAACTAGAAAAAAGGGTCAATTGTAAATATTTCTTCTGTTCTATTACATAACATTTTAAAAATAATTAACTGACTGACAAATACGTTATTTTCATAAACTTACTTATAGGAAATGTCTTCCAGTGATACAGAAACTGTTCAGCTACCTGCTTGATGTTGTTTACTAGCTGCTCCACTTCCGGAGGTGCCCCAACGAGGGTTACGTCAAACCTAAGTGGCTCCCTCTCTGGTTGAAGAGGATCATGACCAATTATACCACTGTCATTCGATCTCAGAGGATAAAGAGACGTCGGTCTAGCTGCGTAATGATGGTTCTTCTTGTTGGACAGGGCGGAAATCGAGTCGTAGAGAAGCTGCAGAAGAAAAAATAATTGAAATATTGTTTAAATGTTAATCATTTGTTTAATCATTTTTGCCTTGGAGCTTTGGGAGGTGAAATCCTGATTTATTAGGCAAGACTTACAGTAAAACAAACAAAGTCTTCAGCCACGGTCAAGATATGTGTCAAGAAAAAGTCAAAAGAAAATCCAGTGGGAGCTAATCTACGGCTATTTGCATTTGATGATCGTCTTGTCAACATTTGTTTTTGCATCACGGACGCATCACGATTAATTACAGTTGTGCAAGAATATAAAGAGCTATATAGAGTTTCAGGATATCAACAAGAAAGTGAATTTATGATTGCCATCGTTCAACAAATCAGGAAATAGTGAGATATTCTCCATGTTCCGATCTCTTCTTGAATATGTTGTGTATAAAAAATTATGCTTCCATTTTCTAGATTTTCTTTCTTCTTCCTCCTCTTCTGCTAAAAAACAAGCCATAATGACTTGTTCTTCATCACTTTTCCTCCATTCTCTTGATTGTAAAGAAGTTAATCATTTGATGAAGTGTCTGTTGTGGAGTGGAGGTTATTCACAGACTCCTCTAAATTTACTTTACAATGGCAATCATATCCCTTCCGTTCCTATTAGTTATACAGCTATTATGAAGATCTATAGAAACTTCCTCGAAACGAACAATCATAAAGAAAAATGGTACTTTAAACGATAATAAAAACTTACATCGAGGAGTAGCTGTCTGCTCCTTTTCCACCTCTCTCTCAACCACACTAGATTTTGATCTGTGATGTCCATGTTTCTGGTGTCCGTGGTAATCAGAATTGATGCTCTGGCCAGAGTCTGACTTGTTCTGATTGAAACTGCTACCCGAACTGTGTCTGTGATGTCCGCTAGACTCCGATCTCCTATGCCCTGTTGGAAGCTTTGAGCCAGAGCTGGGCCTGGAACTCATTTTTCAACCGCCAGGGGAAGTGCAGTACAAAAACAATTCTTCATTGTCTACAAAAGAAGATACACGAATTTTAAAAAATGGAACATATTCTTTAATATCTGTTATACCATAGTAACTATGCTACATATACAAATTTGGTGGATGCGCCCATGTTATTTCATATGGGGAAATAATTCGCTAAAGTACGTTCTGGTCGTTTTTTTAACTTTTTGTGATCGAGATAAAACGGCTAGACGGGTCTTAACGTAAGAGGGGTCGTTGGAAAGGGGAGATTACAGTTTTCATAGAAAACACATGGTGGCATTGCCAAAGGGGCACTATATCGTATCTTCGTTGTTATTGGTGCGATTTTGATATACAAGGCGTCAAATGAAAGAGGATTGAGCATAGATGAATTTTTATGACAAAAGACAAACATGGCAGCATTGTCAATGGGGCACTACAACGTATTTTCATTGTTATTGGTCCGATTTTGACGTTTGAGGCTTCAAATAAAAAAGATTGGTTGTAGATGAATTTTTAAGACACAAAACAAGCATGGCAGCATGCCAAAAGGGCATTGCATGATATGCATTATTTATTCAATGCACTTATGTCACGAAGTCGTGATAACTCCAGTCAAAAGTCACAATAAATCATTACACAGAAATTAATTAATTCCATTAATAATTGTAAAACGCATTTGACCCAGACCTGTGTTATATAGTCACTTAAAAATTGTGTTTCAGCGGATAAATGGAATTAATTAATTTCTGTGCAATTATTTATTGTTACTTTTGGTGGAGGTTATCACAACTTCATGACAGAAGTGATTGTACACCAGTTTAAAACACTGGTATAATGAATACAACTGTTGACATATAAAATACTGTGATATTAAGGCAACCTTAGACATTGTCAACAACCAAAGAGCTTTGATTGGTGCAACTAAATGCTTAAAAAATACATTGGACGAACTTCTTAAGACTTAGATAAGATTGTATCATCACACTAAGCATATGAGCCACAAATTAAACAGCTTAGCTCTTCGCCTTGTTTGACACTATTGTTCACAATTGAAAAACATGGCCCTCATCAGAAAAACTGGTCATGTAGCAACAATGCTTTACAGAAACTTTAAATGGTCAATAATTCTGGACGATATGCAACCATTTATTTGAGTTTAGTCTTTGATGCACTATCATCAAACAATCCACTTTTTAAGAGGAAGCAAACTGTTTTTGTGCACTGAACTTGTAACTAAACCCAAAACAACAGTCCAAGCAGTAAGTAGGTAGAAACTGATAGTTGTGCATGGAATAAACAAAGTCAATAACTTTAGGTGGAAAAATTTTGGTCAGGATATGGAAGTCAAAACAGATTCTTTTAATGTATTATTTTAAAATAATTCTTGTAAATAGATATATTATCTTGACCAGCTAGTTAAAAGTCAGGAAAAAGTCTGGTTTGCGAAATGTTGAATTTTATTGTTTATTTAGAGTATAGCGACATGCAACATTAATATGATATAATGCAATAACAAATAATAAACTAAACATTAATATCGAGGTTAGAAATCCATTCTAATGACGTCGGGATGTATCCAGGAAATCAGAACAATTTCCTGTATATGCTTGAATTCTACAAGGTAAGTTTTTACAAGCAACACTCGTCTTAATGTGACTCTCCATTACCATTAATTACACTTCATCTAATTTACATACCGATGCACGTCATCGGCGTCATAGCCCGTGACGTCACATAATACCAACACGAAATATTTAGGCGATAGGTGTGTTCTTTTTTAGAATCACTTTGTCGAGTACACTGGCATTACAGCCACTAGACATATTTTATTATATACGCGTAGAAATAATATTTAAAAATTTCTATTAATATACTTAAAGAAATACACAATAATATGTTTCATTTAATTTGTATAAATGCATTATAAAGCGTTTTTATGAAGAACATTTGTTCGGAACACACTGTAACTGTAATCGAACAAAGGTTAAATTTTGGCATAAATTGGTAACACTTATTTGACAGTTGCGTGTTGACACTTTTTGTACTTTATTGAATTTTGATATTTGAATTTAAAGTGAATACCTCTTGTTTTATATTTTTACCTATTTAATAAAATGTGTTCTTTTTAGACAAAATAAGTGTGTTTTATTTCAAAATGTCACGTAAGAATTAAATAGTCGTTGTAAAGAGATGGTAATACTTTTGCAATAATTATGTGATCTATTTGATTTAAAATAAAGTCAGGATTTTTTTATACTTTGACAACTATGTCAACTTCGATCTCTGACGTAGATAATGACGTGCGTCAGTATGTAAATTAGATGAAGTATATGTTATGTATGTCAGAACCAATGTTGTACCAAAAAATAGTTATGTTGTAACAACATTTATTTTATATTTTAGTTTAAAGGGTTGTTAAAAGATAAGTCTTATTTGAATGGAATTGTTTTATACTACATACTGCAGAAAAAATAAATTCTTCTTAGAGTGATGTCTCCCTACGGAGGTTTGCAATCATAATGACTTTTTATTTTTGAATTTGCTGCTCTAAACAAATCAATCGATCTGCATTGATACCAATCACATAGATTCTTCAATCAGTTCTGCCTTCGGCCAACATTTTTTTAATGTCCAAGTCTCAGCTCCATATAATAATATTGAAAATATATAACAGCGAATAGTACATAGTCTGATCTCCAATTTTAGATTTTTGCACGTTAGGAGTGGCTTCATTCATATAAATGCTGATCTGGCAATCTCTATTTGCCTGTTTATTTCTGCAGTATGATCATTGGTTTCATTTATCATAGTTCCCAAGTACTGATATTTTTCTACTTGTTCTATAACATTATCATTGATTTCAATATGTGATGTATATTCTGTGGTCTTTTTTAGTATGTACTTCGTTTTTTTTTTAGCATTTATAGTAATTCCCATCTCAGCACTATTCATACTTAAGCTTTTGATAAGATGTTGTAGATCTTCTATACTGGTTGGTATGATCACAGTGTCATCTGTGTATCGTAAAAAATAAATAAATAACATTTATTGCTAAAAAACTTAGAGACAGTTAGTAGCAGTTAGACAAACTGTACTATTCTAGGGTTAAAATAGCCAATAATATGTCCACTAGCATAAATGTTCATAATAAATAAAAATATACTGTGATCTAATCCATATTATATAATCATTTGTGTACACCAACTAGCTAAATTGCAGGTGAAATTAAACAAATATGGAATTACATGCTGATTGCATTAAACTTGTTAGTTATTTGGAATGACATCATTGGCAAAGATATAAATATCATCTAATAAACATTAACAAATCTTTATTACATAACATTCTGAATAAACTGGTTATTATACTATGAATTGACTGTATGTTTTATAGAATTCCTAATGATCTATTTTTGTTGGTAAACAATTTTAGTATTTTATTTTAATAAACAGGATATCCCGAAACTCTTTATATAAAACAGCAAATTTTATTTTGATTTAAAATAATTAGTTTTGTATGAAAAATAAAATGTTTTGCTTTTTGATGATAGTATTGTATATACAAGGATGTATGTAAAACATTTTGTCTACTACAGAAGCAAACAAAACTTAAAAAGCAAAGTATTTTACTATTTTTTCAATTATGTTAATTCAATTTTTCAGTCAAGAAAAACATGATATTCAAATGGATCTACCCAACTCAGTTGTTTGCATTTGAATACAATTTGTGTGTAGAGGTAGTAGTTTATCAGTAGTACAAGTATAAACACATAAAGCTGACATGACTGACCGTAAATCAGTGGTTTTCATTTGAGGATTTTGTTAAGATATATATAGGAATAATTATATGGATTAGGTAGTTTATATCAATCATCCGATGAAAGCAGGTTTTGCAAGGCTACTTTAACAAAATGGTATTTACTTAAATGTAATAAAATAGTGTGTACTAAATTTGATATATACTGGTTCAATTTTTTTTTTTTTTTTTCAAATTATTTTTTTGCGAAGTTACTTTTTGACAGACTAAAAGTGGCTGGAAATTACTATACAACCAAGCACACATACTCATAGCCAATATTAATAGTAAACAAACTAAATCGTAAATAAAATAGAACTTTGCGAATTACTGACAATCAATATTTATTTATCTACCTACACCATATAATAAATAGTTATGTTAAATTATAACAACTAAAATATATTTTTTAAATATATACTACCCAAAATTTGATGGTTTAGTATGCACTTCGTCTATTTATACTAATTCTTCTTTTTTCAAAGAAAGAAGTCTGCAATAGTAGTATACTTGAGCTATCAATACTGAGAAGTAGGAATTGTTGTGTTGTAGGTTTCCGACAATGAATCTGTCAAAATATGCCCAACCTAAGCAAATGGAGTATATAAAGTTTATATATTGAAAAACTATGCTATTTATGTTAACCAATTTATCTAAATAATAAAAACTAAACCAAATAAATAAAAATGTTTTGCTAAATAAAACCTACAACCAATACATATTTATTATATCGACATGCATAAAACAAAACTAAAAAATTTTTTTAAACTTGTGCATGGTAATTTAAAATGGTTTTTGATTGAAGTTTCTGTGAATAAATATCTGAAACGTAATTGTGCACAGATAATTTTAGTTGGAATTTTATAAACATAGTTAAAAGAAGCAAAATAAACAAAATTCTACATTGATAACAGCTGAGAAAATGTTAATCAGACTAAGTTGAAATGTTACACTTTGAAATTTATAATTTCAAGATCAAAGGTCATGTAACAATAACAATGAAATGAATTCCACAATCTTAGTATATTTAATTAGATAGAGCTTTATAATCATGCAAATGTAAAGATATTTAATAATGATATGAACAAGACAACAATTAAATCTTTGAAGGTCTATTATAATTTGACATTGACCATGGCATTTGTTTTAAGAAGGTACCTGTATGTTTTCAATTAAAATATTTATACAGCACAGTTTTA